TTTTATAGCTATACGGCTATACTGCAAAAGGAGCCCAACCCCCCCCTTTTTCTGATTATTAAGGCCCCTGCAGCAGGGCTTTCACAACTTCCAAAGGCGTTCCAAGACTTCTGTTCGGATACTTTTACCCTATCCCTCCAGGGACCTCATAGTTAGGGCCCTAGACCCCTTAAGGACCCCACAATAAGGTCCCTGGAGGCATTGCTAGGATACCCAGTAACCTAAGAATAAAAAGGCCTCTCTTTTTGGTATTGGGTAACTTTATAAGGAACCTAGGACTACAAAAAGGGAATAAGGGTACTACTGGCATCCTAGATATTGGGCTCTCGGTCTGTGGCTTCGGGTCTCGGCTGGTCTCATTTGGTATATTTACAATACTGAACTTAGAACCTTAGCAAAAATCATAATTTTCGCTTTTTTGGGGGATTGTGATAACCAAAAATTAAAAAGTATTTCTAAACCCCCTAAGTTTACAACCTGCAGTTCTGCTGGGAAGTCCCTACAAATACCAATCCAAGATGACCCCACCTCAGCCCTAAACCTAAACCCTAAAGCCCTGAAGCCTAAACCGCAAAAACCTTCAAGCCCTAAACCCCGAAAGCCCTAAAACCCTAGACCCCTACACCCAAAACCAGATGTCCTGACGTCGGGGAAAGGGCTCTTCTCGCCATCTAGCCCTAGAGTGTTGAGTGAGAGTACCCCCTTACGGGTTTTCAAGGTTGAGGGCTTCTTTTGTAAGGTTTTGGCTTTAAGGTTGCGTACAGTTTATGAGCCCCACACGATAAACTACTCGAAATAAGGTGAACATGAGGGATGCTGTTATTCGGAGATAGCACCCTCCAAAGCACCTGCTACCACGGCGTTAGGTGGCAGGGCATTGTGATGGAGACTGGAGACCTTGGCACTCCGCAGATTTTGAGAATCCTTTGGCTTGTCATCAAACCTTAACCCACCAAACCCTAACTTTGTAGGCTCTTATTATAAACCTGAATATGGAATTTATAGGAACCCTACGTTTTGTAGGTCTTGGTAGGTTAAGGAATGCTCCCACCCTTTGTCGGTGTTTCGGGCTCCGAGGCCAAAGCAAAGTAGCAACGAAACCCCACAAAGGGTTGGGGTAGAAGGATTCTGCAGAGTCTCGGTTAAAACAATCTACGGTGAAGCTTGGTTTCAACTTGCGAATTGACTGCAGATCCCTTCATGTCAAAAGCCCTGAACCATAAACCCACGCACCAAAACCCTCAAGCCCAATAGTAAGGGCTTAACTTAGTACCGATACAATTTTGGTGGTTCCTTATCATATTTATAGTAGACTATACCGCAAAACCCCAAAATACTTATTAAGGCCCCCAAATTAAACTACTAAAGATTCCATACCTGACCTGACCAAAAAAGGAAACTTGCAGGCGCGTGGCGCTCAGCAATGCCCTGGCCCAGTCCTCGACTCATAACAGGGTTTAGGGTTGAAAGTTTAGGGTTGAGGGCAAGGCTCAAGGTGTAGGGTTTGGGGTTCCAGGTTTAGGACTCTGTGCAAGCATTTGCCAAGTTTGGGGTTTGACACTGGCTTCGTCTGTCTCGACCGGCTCATGGTGCCTTTATCGATAGGGATTTTCCACGCCTACCTGAGTCAGAATATTGTACCCTTATACAAGCGTGAAATGTCTAGATATAGCCTGTAGGGCTTTAAAGCTTGTAGTGGTCGAAAACTCTATCCCTGCAGACGTAAAGCCCAAACCCAAACACTCATCAAATCCCACACATTTCTAGGCGACACACCAAAATAAATACATACTGAATCCAAAATCTCTGAGGCTATCCGAAGCTTATCGCATCTCGACTGCCACTGACGATTGTTCAGGATAGCTTACATAACAAGGGCTACAGTTTGAGCATGCGGGTTGTTGGGATTTGTGGAGTTTTTTTATGTGTTCACTGTGCACCTGTTGGGGCTTAAATGGCAGGATTCAGGGTCTGCTGTGACTTCGGATTCACTGGTTTGTGCAAACAACGAGCCCTTTAACCCCGGGGTCCCCTAAATCATCACCCTAACCCCAAGTCCAAAGGATGCAATAATTAGGTAATTGGGTTTAGGATAGTAGTTATGTAGGTTACGAGTTTGGAGAGTATGGGATAATTAGGTACTTGGGCCTGAGGGTAAGTTAAGCACCGGAGAGCCACTTTAAACCGAAGCCCTGCAACCGTAAGCTCTATGTACCCGGAACCTGACCGCCGACTCTACACCCTATATGGGTGGTTGACAAAATTATGGTCCCTTTTGGGTCCCTATTATAATACGGCACCTATTATTTAGGGTACCCAAAAAGGGACCATAATTTTTACAACTGCCCATCCCCATATGAACTGTATACTTGGCGGATGAAACCGCTAACTTCGGCCTGCAACCCGACGCTTCTAAACCCGAAGATGAAAGGTGATCCGAAGGGTGTGTCGAACACTAACCCTATGCCTCCAGGGACCTTCTTATAGGGTCCTTAAGGGGTCTAGGGCCCTGACTATGAGGTTCCTGGAGGGATAGGGTAAGCCTTAAACTAAACCTCATCCCCGAACCCCCAACCCTGAAAAACGTAGCCGCCAGCGCTAGAGCCTGAAAACCCGATCGCATGAACTGAAGCGAAAACGCCTTCAGCTCCATTTTTTAGGACGTGAGAGTGTCCGAAAATCAAGGGGTACCTTATTTGGGGTTCCTTATAATCAGGATCCTACTATCTGAAGCACTATACTAGGATCCCCTATTTTCGGTAACCCCCAGGTGCACCAGCCTAGCTCCTTCAAAATCAAATCAATTGACCCTTAAAACCTCAACCCGAGCCAAAAGTCCTGGCTCTTGGCATAGGTGCTGGTGATTGATCCAAACGACACGGCAGAGGCCTCTCCGGGGGTTATAAGGGCTTGGCATGCGGGCCCTGGTAGGTTCCTTTGAGGGTTCCTTTTGAAGGTGTCGATGGGGGTGTTTTTCTGGCCTTTGAAAGCTAATCTTGTTGAATGAGGCATGAATCCAAGGGTTCTAATGTCTATTTTTGTGCAACCTCGAGCGCCGAAGACAACGAAATGTTTCAGTTGACCCCAGCCTTCCCACCTCACCTAACCTTTAATTCGCCTGGTAACTATCATTTCTATGTTATGACTGAGACCATGGACATCATCATGCTCTCTTCTCAGAACAGACTCGATCATGGACGTCATCATGGTTGGACCATGGATGCTCTGTTCTCAGAACGCAGTAAGCTCAGTTCGGAGCACAGCACCTGTTTTCAGCACAGCACCAGCAGCACCACCATCAGGCAGACAAGCAGAAGCAGCAGCAACAAGACTGGCTTCACCTTTAATAAACAAACGGTGCAAGTAGATACACACCCAAGGCCGGAAGACGCTGAAGACCCTGAAGATGGTGAAGAGCCAGGAAAACCTAGGACAAAACAAGGCGCATTGGCCTTCTACAAAGATCTGTACAGCGTCCTATACGGGCTCTGGATCTATTGTAGGGTTTGAGGCGTCGGGTTCTGTGGTTTACCCTATCCCTCCAGGGACCTCATAGTTAGGGCCCTAGACCTATAACAAGGTCCCTAAACCCTAAACCCTAAACCCTTAGGGTTTAGGGTTGGAGCTTTCGGGCTGAAGGCCGGGTGTATGGAGTGATTAGATGCGCCCGTCTTTGATATCAGCTTGCCGTGGCTTCAGGGCCTACCCAGACCCCCGGGAGGATTCAAAAAGTAGATCCCTTAATGGGGGTTCCTATAAAGTACCCTTAGTAGTATAGGGCCACAAGTTAGGGGATCTACTTTCCAGATCCTCCCGGGGGTCTGGGTAACACACACACACACAGACCCGCCCACACACACACACACACACACACACACAAACACAAATGCACACACACACACACACACAGACATATTTCATGCGTACACATCAATATGCGGGCTGATCCTGAAACACGTGGACCGTTTCTCAACCAAGGGACCCAGTATTGATGGCAAACTCCTGTACACAGGACACCGCGAATGAAAGCTACACCCTATACCCTCAAGCCATATCGAAGTATCTACCGTGAACTGCAATGGGCCTCCAACGTTTTGCAAAGGAAGACAACACCCATAAACCTACGTCTGTACACTGTACCCGTAAACCCTGCACCTCCAATTGTCAAAAACAAACGATAAGCCCTTTAAACTTTGAGACCCAACAAAACACCCAGAATCTTGCGCAGTCTCAAAATGCAAGGCCTCGAGGCTTCTCAGCCGGAGATCTTGGAGCAGCTTCGATGTCTTCTGCCAGGATGCGTCTCCAGCATAGGCCGTGTTGTAGCTGACGGTGTCCTGAAGGGCTTTTCGCGCTTGTGGCGATTTTTGCGTAACATAGAAGCCTTAGCCTTTTCAATAGGGTTTCGGGATATACAGTAGGGAGATGTATTACAGTGTTCAGTTATGCTATGGAACCCTACGGGATACTGACTATCATTCTCGTCATCCGGGCGCGATGATGAAGATGAAGATGCAGACGGAGGTAAATGAGAAGATTGAGATGAAGATGGAGCGAAGTGAAGCAAGTGAAAACGATACATTGTATGCATTGATGGTGATAATGAACAAGACGATGGTGACCATGATGAAACTCGAATCAAAGACCACCTGCTACGGATGATGTTGACTGGCGGTCGGTGTTCTGCTCTTGAAGGTCTTCTGACGCTTGGCATAGCAGGCTTGCTGTTTATGGGGTGGCATAACTTCGAGTGCAAGCCCTATAAAGGTCCGTCCTGCCTGCAGGAACTTACACGAGGCATAGTAGGCTGACCGATTTAAAGCTTTATAGGCAAAGTCGAGGTTTGACGAATTATCGCCGGAGTCACGCTGTTTGCCGGATTGCAATGAATCTTAGACTCACCGAGCTGAATAGTCCATATCTGCCAACTTTTCTATTTATGTTCATTCATGTTTTCTACCTTGGCGATGCGGACGAAGTCTCAGCCCCAGTGGAATCTGCTAATCAAAATATTCGATCATGCCCCCTTCACGAGACGGTTGCAAGTCGATGATGCGAGCCCACTGCCTGGCAACTATCGGAACAGCATCAGGCTTTCCAGCCACAGCCCAGCAGTCAGGCTTAGCAATCAGGATGACCTCGGAGGTCGGCAAGGCATCTGCATTGCGAAAGTGCACCGTCTCCCACCAGATGCCCTCAAGCCAACCAATCGTATACACCATTCGCAGTGTCGAAAGCTCAGGCTGTAGATCATCCAGCACGTGGGCGGCTACCACCTTCTTCGTATAACCAATCGACTCAAGGGTAGCTCTTCGCCCACGATAAGTCTGTAACTGCATAGAAAGCTCCGCATCTCGGAGAGTGAATAGCTGCCTGGCAGCAGCCCGAACGAAGGCTTCACGTGGCCCTTTCAAGTACAAAGAAGCGTTGGGCCACCATGGGTTATTCTCGTGACCACCAGGAAGAATGTCAGGAGGCTCAGTGACAATGCTCAGGCCACGGAACTGCTGCCTGGTGCGTTCAACCTTAGCTGACTTCTGAAGCCCTCCTAAAAGTTAAACTTTTCGCCTCCTTATTGTAATTTATATAGAAACCTAAAAAGTTAAAGTCTAGAGAGCCAACCAAAAGAACGCCAAGCAACTATGCTAAAAGGCTGATGTGCAAACCTCTGAAAGCACAGCGCGGTCATCCGAAACTTGTGCAGTTCCAGCACCCGCTGCTCAAGCAACCTTTGTGACTCGCGATGCACGTTCAACAGCAGGTCTCCGATGCAATCGCCACCAATATATTCCCAAACCAAGCGTCCCACGCATTGTGGCGGCTTCCTTCCGAATCTCTTGAACCAACCTGCCACCACACTCACTAGGTGAAGCCTCTGGCGGAGCTGCCGTCCTTGAAGATGACACCATTGCGGGCCCATGCTTCTTGGCAACCATCATTGTTGGTGAAGCTGCAGGATGTCAACCGAAGCACGCATGCTGACACCTCTTTCGTGGCAAAGCTTGAAAAGCCTGTGCAAGACGTGAAAGCCAGAGTCGGAGTCAGCCACCACTATCCTCACATGTGGATCACGGAAATTGTCCATAGCCTGCTCTAAACCACGTCCCAGCTTTTGTTGAACAGCCCTGTCTCTGGGATCCCTGATAGTAGTGATGTGCGGTCTCCGGCGCTTGTAGCTGTATCTTTCACTGTGCAGAACAATCTCTACAAACACAGATCGTCCTTTGAGCTTCTTGATCATCTTCAGCAGCAAATAGTTCTGTCTTCGATCGAAACCGGCTGGAAAAGGCACCGTGTACACGAGAGTGCGGAGCTTGTGGCACTTCATCGAACAAAGCAGTCCAAAGTACGTATCTTTCAAGACATCCAGTTGGAGAATGGGCCGAAAGCCTGCGAAAGGCAAACAGTTGAACCTCCACCTGCCACGATCAATTTCGGAAGCCAGCTCTCGCCTAAAAATACAACAAGCTACTGGGCACTGCCGCCGGGGAGGTCCAAAGACCGCCGTCGCAACTCATCCCCGTCAATGAAAGTGGAACATCATGAACCAGACCTATAAGAGTAAAGTAGGAACAAAAAGGGTGCCCTTTTTGGTTTAAAGGGGGTTATAAGGGAACCGAAACCCTCAAAAAGGGAATAAGGCCCTACTCTGGGTCCTAGTGAATCATGTCTTTCGAAGGTCCACTAGCCCCTCTGGACTCAAGACTCGAAACCCCAACGCCCCAAACCCTAAATCCTACACCCCAAACCATAAACCCTAAACCCTAAACCCCAAACTCCTAAACCCTAATCCAAGAGTCCAGGGGGAGCGCGGCACTTCGGAAGGAGCTCAGCAGCTCTCCAGCACCAACCTCGGAACTTGCATAGAAAGCTTGCAACCTTTACCTGCAAGCCCGATTCCGTCAGTGGGCTACAAGTACATCAGGTACTATAGTTGCATTCCGATTCAAGCTTGACTTCAAAGTCCATATAAACCCTAAACCCTATTACCATAATAAGCCCCAGCAGCCGGATCCTAAAATGTAAGTGACTCATAAAAGCAGCAGTCCTGCCGCAACCGTCCGTGTGCCTCCAGTATGTGGTATATACACTTTAACCCTAAAGCCCTCATATCGGAAACCCATCGATGAAGATGCTTGTATATAACTCTGCGTACAGTAGTTTTCGTGGGGCCCAGGGTCGTAAGCTCCCTTCTTCACTGGAGCTGCCCAACTCACCTGTTGTGGTAGTACCTGCTGCCGGCACCGTCTATGAAACTGCACAGAGAAACCCCAAGAAACCCTAAAACCCGAACCCAGGGTCTTCCCTAAGGGTCCAAGTATCATTATGGTATATACTTATGGGGTATTTTGGGGGTCTAAGTGTATACCATAATGATACTTGGACCCTTTGGGTCTTAACTATCTGGAGCCCCACACCTCAGGCCTAAGAGGCTTTTGCGGACTTAAGGGCCTCGGGTTTGAGTTTGAAGCCTACCTTAACCCGGAGTAGCAGGCCTTTTTAAGGACGTATATAAGGAAATCTTAATAATAAGGAGCACCGGAAAGGTAAGTTATTCAGGGTTAAGGTAGGGCTTGGGCTCATGGCTGCGTCAGTTGCCTGACCGAGCAGCCCATAGGCGGCTCTTTACAGCAGTGTTGAGCAGCGCGTTGCACCTCTGCCAGAGTTGCAAGAAGCTTCAGACAATTCAGACAATCCCATGAACCTCGCACTCTGCGTGTCTCAAGGCCTCCGACCGACCTCAACCTTGAAGCGTTATCAAGTAAGCCACAACTGTAACCCGGAACCCTTGCTGATAGAAGGCCGTGACCCAATCACCTCCCGAAGCAGGAAGTCAACGTTGCTCTGCATAAGAAATATCCAAACAACACAGTACAAAACCTGTGAAGCAACGGACAAAACCTGAACTCACAACGTCAACCCCGCAAAGCCTAAGTGAAACCTTGTAAGATGACCCTGGTTGTCCAGTAACATGCTATTCCTGCACCCACTGATGCTGCTGGTGTTATGAGTTCAACATAAACCTCATGCACTCACGACACTTGGGATTCTGAGTCTCTCTTTGTTGCTGTTTCTGGTACTGTAGCTCTCCGGGACCGCAGGATAGACGGATTTATTGGAACAGGAAGCAGCGTCTGAGATCGGAGTACAATAACACAGGCAAGCAACAAAACTACCTCTGTGGTCCAGGAAAGTAAGCACGATCGTTCAAAAAATCAAGAGTCTGCGATGCCACGTCGTTCTGCCGAGAAGTCTTGCTGCCAAAACGGTATCCCAAAGAAATTGGCCTGACAGATGAGTATACCCAGAGGGTCCATACAGCTGTAGTGTTGGAGGCCAAATTACCTAATTCCATACTAGTAGTGTGTATCGACTTTGTGTGTCAGGTTCCGCAGAAGATTCTGTCACGATAGACATGCTGCGCTAGTGAACTTCAAAGGCTAGATCTGCGAAATAGTCGTAAGACAAAGAATCGTCTTATCTGAAGCACTTACGGTCTCTAGTATAGCGTTCATATAATCGGGAATCATCTGCAGCCCCTTCGAATTCAGAGTGGGGTTAGTGATGTGCAGGTAGTGTGATAATGAAGGGGGCTATAAAGGGTGCTACTACTAAATGTGCAGACTTCTACAATATTCTCGACTATTTAATTCAGGCTTACGTTGATGAAAGCTTTGGGGAACCCGATGCAGAACGAATAGATCCGACTCACTACTCCTCAGAACTTCGACCCCACAACCGAAGTCGCACATACTTCACCTCAACAGCGCCTCAGCACTTCAACCTCCCGAACCCTACATGCCCCTACCCATAGGCCCCAAAGTAGTTCCTTTTTGGGATTACCTTATAGGATTCTATATATATATATATATAGAACCCCAAAACGGAACTACTTTGGGGCCTCTGTGTAAACCCTCAGCCCGCAAACCTGACACCTTTCGACCCTGAGCCGAAGCGTTACTTCCCAGAGCCCTCGAACTCTACTATTTGCTTAAGAACCCCCAAAAATAAAAAAACATATATATTCCTTATGGGTGTAATATAGGGATTATTATTTCTATTTTTTGGGTGGTTTCTTAAGCAAATAATAGAACTTCAGACGAATGCCTCAGCCGAGTCGTGCGCCAGTCGGAAAGCAGTGCCACAAGTTTCTCTGAACCTGAGGCCATTTAGTGCCAAGGGTTCATGTGCTCATAGGGCATTTACGTTGGACTGGATACAGGTTGCAGAATAATTTGACTGGGCATTTGGGGTATTCTGTTAAAGACCTGGAGGCTACTGGATGCAGGACCCGGAATAACTTGAACAGGCCTGTGAGGTTCATGATACTAGTGTTCTAGTGAAAGCATGCGAAGCGGTGGTGCACCAAGTGTGCGCCCCACAGAGTCTCCGGGCTCAACCAAAGTCCTTGTCGGGGGAGTGTGGTACGCGGCAAGCGCCTGCATCAGCTTGCTGCGTATGCCGCCTCAGGCCGCATCTATGACCTTGTTACTGGATTCGGTAAGGCCGTTGGCTTGCGGCCTGCCACGAGAAATGAATTGTGCTCGCACACCCAAGCTCTGTTGGACGGCTGCTTGGACCACGGACGCAAATTGCGACCCATTGTCCGACCAGACGATTGATTATTCAGGCTTCTAGATTGCCCGAAGGGTGCATGTACCCAAATACTAGTTATATACTCTGGGCCCCCAAAGTATCTTTGTAGGGACTACTCTCAGGCCAAAGTAGATATTATTTGGGCACCTCGACCTCAGGATTAGGGTCTCTACAAGGTGTCTCAAAGCTCAAGGAGTTCAGTGCTTTTAGGTCATCTTGAACAGGGCTTCGGGTGTAATAGGGTCTTTAATGATGAGACTGGGGTCTTGGGTGATTTGTGTGTATGGCCTAACTTCATGCGGAACGACAAGGGTAGGTAGACACAAACTACGGTTGATGAAATAAATCCTGCATTACCCATAATAAGGAATGCACCATAATTCCCATATAGTTTTATGGTCCTCAAGGTAATGCAGGATTTGTATCATCCACCGTATTGCGGTAGCCTTCGAGAATCCCTAGGTTCAGAACAGGCTTAGGAGGGCTTAGCCTTCGAGACCAAGGGTCCAGTTTTGGAAATCGAAATTTGCAGATGCTTGGCCAATGCCCCTGAATGCAATGAAACTCGAACCACTACATTATGGAGAACCGGATATATTATACTATACCCAAAACACGGGAACACCAAGTTGGAAATTATTTAGGCCAGTATCTCATACAAAATCCAGCCTCGCATCCCCCCCACCCCAACACGAGCACAACTTCCTCCATGCCGCTTTCTGTTGTTGCATAACCACTCCAGGGTTTAATGTTTAGGGTTCAGGGTTCCCGCCGCACTGAACCCATTTACACCCTAAGTTACCAAAGACCATGACCTGCAAGGCCAAAACCTCATGAAGCCCGCCAAACCCTGTAGGGCCACAAGCCAACTTATATCCAAGGGTAAGAGGACAAACCCTTAATAACAACCCCTAGGTCTATACTCTTAATATAGCTATTATATACCCATTATATATCCCATTATAGGGTAGGGGTCCCCATTGAGGGTCCCTCCTTTTCCCCTTTGATTGTAATAACCCGCCAAGAAACCGAAACAGCGAAACCCTCGACCACTAGCGCAAATATAGCCTCTACAACTGCGTAACCATGAAGCACTGGAAGCACTAAAGAGATCAGCATATGCATTTGGCCTTAAAGTTGCAGAGTTGGAGACCCTTTAGTACATGGACCCTTTCGCTAAACAGAAAAGCATTCAATACCCCCTGACAACGCAACCCAGACCCCTAAGACCCCTAAAACCCTAAGACCTAACCCTTAAGCTATACCTTAACCCCAAGTAACCTCCCTTTTTAAGGACTTATATAAAGAAATCATTATATTCGG